AAACTTGTATTATTTGACATCTACTGTGCATTTAGTTATGCAAAGTCCTAAAATTATGCACTTTTCTGGCATCCAATAGCACCAATGCACTTGCACGACACGAATATTAGAAGAATTAGTTTCTTACCCTATCAATCTATAGTCTGATTTTATTGTATACCCAGTAATTGATTTATTTTGCACATTTACGTGAAACAAATGACCCTGACGCTACTCTTGTGGTTGCGTCAAAAAATCGGTTGTGACGCATGAACTGAAAAAAGTGTACTTATATCGCATACAAAATAGCGTTATTATTACCAAGTACCTTCCAAGCCTATAATCTAAAACGTTGCAAAGATACATGACATTGTGACATCCCATATCATATGCTTCATATTTATTACGTCGAAACACAGAGTTCCATTTTTTAACTATAAAAAGCAAACGCTCAGTGGTCTCCAAACCTCGAGCGGTACACCTGCTTTGGCAGTCTGCAGACGTATAACTTACTTGTTTTAAAACAAGCTACCGTTGCAAAACTCGAACTACGCGAGCAACCTCAAACAATCTTATAAGGCGCTCAGCTTCCAACATCAAATTACACTAGTACATCCAAGAATGTAAATAATCAATAATTTTAACATTCTTTAGTGCGTATGTCCACAAGAAATATCATACACAATTTCGTAAAAAACTTGTATTTAACGTGAAATCCGAGAGATCAGCAATTTTAACCATCAATTACTATGAAATTATTGCACCATGACTGTGATCATATCAATCGAGAGTAATTAGGTTAAGCTCTGATTGGTCGTTCGGATCCCTAACCTAACGTGTCAACCTTAAATGCAAGAGTTTCAAAACTCCTTGCATTAAAGAATATTCGCCTTTTCTCTTTCATGAAGTGTTCTAAAGTAACTATAAAGGACGAAAAGTGATTTCTGTTGCATCTTTTAAGCAAATGTAACACTTAGTTCCATGACTGAGCTGCGTAAGAAAAGCTCGAGCAATCCAGGCCACTGTAGACTCACCTAAAAAGTAAATCAAAGAGGAACAAAAAAGAAAGGACCATCGACTTGGATTCCAACGTTGAAAGCAGCAGCCTTATTATTGTCATCGCCACGAGTACTCTCGTGTAGGATTAGAATCATCGTCACAATTAACCTTGTTAACTCTTGCGACTGCGTGCACGCAAGCAGTGGCTAACGAACGATCATATAAGTATGTTAGATGTATTAAGAAATATTTAAATTACTGAATTATATGAAATATACCAAGATTTAAAATTCGAATGGATAGAAACATAATTCTTACTTTGATGAATAAATAGAACACTAAGGAAATTTAAAATAGATAACGTATAACAAACACCTTTACAAAAGTTACATCCCGAGTTGATACGAATTATATTATAACTAAAAAGTATCCGTCCGTCAAAATTCAGATAAGACGTATTGTGAATATAAAGCAAGCTCATATGACAAGAGGAGCTCGTACGTCGTTTATGTGTGTGCGTGTGTGTATTAGTTTCAAGGTGAATGCTTCATAATATGCTGACATAGAATACGGCCAGCCTCATTGTAAAGTTGCATGTATATATGAATGGATAGTTACTTGCTCATTAATTGTTTAATTTTGATAATGTATACTAATTTAAAATTTGTAATACACACATTACTTAATTATATTTAAAGTTAATTGTAAAATCCTCAGAACGATTAATTTCGAAATTTGTAAACTTACTGTCACAATAAAACTTGTATTTGGCAGAAATCGCAACATCCTACTGGCCACAAACTCGTTCGTGTAGTTTAAGGAAACACTGACGGTTACAGCATGAAGCATTAGGGAACTCCGAAGCAGCAGTAACTACAATCAGTGATAGATATAAGTAAAATATTGGTAATAAAATTCACGCTGAACCTTGTTAAAGTGACCCGATTAAATTGTATTTAAAAAAACAAATTATGAAAAAATTGCTTTAATGAAGAAATACATTAATTATCCATATTATTGAAATAAAGATTATTATTCAATACAAAAAAAAATAAAACAAATAAAGCTCACGAACTGAAATCGAAGAACCCCACGAATGGCACTTAAATAAAACAGTTAAGACCAAACTCTGAACAAGTCAGGTCATAACACAAGAACGTGAGATAAAAAGGCGGATAAGACACACTACTACTGCATTACATAAGTAATAAATTCCAACAGTCGGTCAACGAATCTACGAGCTCTGCCCTTCACTTATAGAAGTTCGGACGTAACAACATTCTTTAACTTTACGGGTTTTTAGCAGATGGAACGTTACGGGCTTTCATAAAAAAGTTGAAAAATCGATACTGTGACACACCAAATAAAAACTGATCCTTGACATGGTACTTATATTATGTATGTAAATGTAATAGCTGTTTGCTAACCCATATCACCTTTTAAATTAGTAATTTGACACTTCGCAATGATACATGACGTTCTTTAGGGTCAAGGACTCTTAGTTTTTATTTTGGGGAGACTAACTTTTTAAATGTGTGAGCCTTTAGCATTGGCATACTATAATGAAAAATTCAGATTAAAATTTATACAGCATCCTTAGACTTTGTAAATTACAAATTGTCAAAGTTGGAATGCTGTAATTCAGTTGCGTGCATTTGTAAGAGCATTTTTCGTGGACATATTAAACGAGAATTCGATCCCGAAACTTCAACACCATTTAAGTCTTGGATAAAAATTTTTTGAGCTATTTAAAATGCACGAAAATGTTCTTTATGCTAATAAATTTTGGATTTTATACTGTAGAAAAAAAAAATCTGTTTTTTAATTCCAGGAGTGGCCAAACTGTAAGTTGTCAAATGAGTCTCGAGCATGCCCTGTCTTCGTCACGACCATTAGTTTAAACCTCACCTGAGATTTCAGGTAAATATCGCATGCCAAAAACTCACTGGAGATCTCAGTTGAGATTTCTAAAAAATTATTCTTTCTCCAAAGAAAATTAAAAATTATTTTTACAGTAGTCAACGTCGTCCAATTAAAGTGAACATTTGCATGGTACATCAAAAAACACGTCTTCCAAAGTATTTTATAACAATTGTCTAAAGATGCAATAAATTTTTGAAATTCTCAGATGAGATGTCAGATGCTTCTTCAGATGAGATATCAGATGAGATCTTACATGAGAATTTGAAAAATTTATTTCATTTTCTGAAGTTGACTTCAAACACTTAAAGATAACGTGTTGTCAATCTACCATACAAATGTTATTACAAACAGAGTAGCTTTAAAAACAGTAAAATTCATTTTTAATTTTTTTTTTTTATTTTGAATACTTTTAAAGAAATCTTGGCTGACATCTCAGGTTAGATTTTAGTACGAAATAATTACCTAAGATACCAGGTGAGATATAACCTGGTTTTCGTACACAGGGCGTAACACTAATACAGCCACTTCTTGGTATTTAAAGCTAATGGAATATTTTTTAATGATCAGAATTCCATGGGTCCTTTGCCAGAAAACTTTCTTTGATTATTTAAAAAATATTTTCCGATCGATATCTCCTCTCACAACATTGTTATTGACTGGGACTTGAAATAGACTATGTTTTGTAGAATAACTTATATTTAGCAAATGGCTATATAAGTTGTGTTTATTTACCCATGCAGCCGTAAAAACAAAATCACACATCTTCGGAAAATAGCTGTGCATTACGAATTGCGTGAAAGACAGTTCTCCTACTCTTTTTAAATTCGATTCGTGCAGAAAATGCTGATTGGATTACATCAAAGAAGTTAAACGTATTGTACAAGATCATCGAACCTATAGCGTTTACATATAGCCAAATAGAGATTGTGTTACGCACTTAACAAACAAAGTACCAAGCAAATCTTACCTTCTTGAGAACTAGCTTGTTTCTGTATGGTTACTACAGTTTTTTGCAACCCTAAATACGCAATACGTTGCATACAAAATTTTATGTTTTTATTGAAAAATATCAGTGGTATGACAACTTATAACTTTTGGTATAAAATCCTGTTACGATCATTGATTGGTTTATTTATGCGGCACTTATATTTGTCTAGGTATGAACAATGAATTTAACGCTCTTGTAGAACACAAATAGAAATAACGGTAGTAGAAGAATTTTTTTACGCAATCCACAATCCACAGCTCTTTTTGCAGACGTGTGATCACTACTGACTTAGTTTTTTCAATCCTGTCATGCCCATCCTTTCCTACGGAAACGAGATATTAGGTTTGTTCAATTAAGATGTTCGGAACACTCTAAGTGATCCTAGAGTCATTAAGATACATATCTGTATTAGTGGCCAGGATTGAAAATATAGATTAATACCACAATTATTCTGGTATTGCTCGGAGTGCTTCAAATACCAAAATCAAACAAATCTTTTTTTATTATTATGATGCATCATCGCCTTTAGGCTTGGATATAGCTTTTTTACACAATTAAAGCCGTCGGTGAAAACCTAAGTAATGACTAGATGTTTATACAGTTAAACACCTAGACTAATTCAATTACACCCATGATCACGTTGGCGACGCGTAAGAGAAACAATCAATTAACCTTCGAAAACCAGTAACACAGGTGAAACGGAGAGACTCAAACGGTCACCCATCTAAATATAAATTGCGCCAAATACTGCTTAACGTCGGAGACCGACGAAATTACAACTTTTCCGTTGCACTACCGTGATCACTTTCAAAAAAATATATTATGAACTATCTTTTTTTAAAGGTATGTAAATTTCGTTTACGACTGACATTCATTGTTCAACTCATCCTTTGTTAATTGTTCATTACGTTTATCATATACCATAGTTGATTGTCTTATTTATTTTAGTAGGAGCACAATATTTATTCTTCTAAATTAATTATCTTTTTATAACTTTATTTTATTAAGCATGCACGTAATGCGTCCACGTGAGCTCTTCTTTCATACAAATTTTTGTATATAGTTTCATATAAAAGTTCTATAAGTATATCGTGTGACAGCCATTTATAGTATGGGAATACGGTCTTCAAATTGTGACAGATACAGGTGACAAATACGTGTGTATTAGTATTGACCAATATTTATGTATAATGCTGCTGATTAAGATTTATTTAAACAATTTAAGGTTAAATATGCGCTTTATAATTCAGTCAACTAGAACACTGTTCTCACTTTTTTGTTGCATTATCAAGTTTGTCTAACTTTCATAGAATATATGTGCTTGATTCAAGAGAGGGGATAAGTTGTGTTTTCAAATGTACATAGACTACTACTTTAATTGATCTGCATATGTCTAACTTTTTTTTCAGATCGCTGATTGTGGCACTACAGGAACAAAATAAGCAAGTGTTCCTAGTTTCAGGTGGCTTTCACTGTCTTATAGCTCCAGTAGCGGCAGAACTAAACATTCCACCAGAAAACATATGTGCAAATAAACTAAAATTCTATTTTACAGGTGAGTATTTAATATTTAGATAATGTAAACTTTTCCTAATATTTTAATCGAGAAGCTGAGTACAAGCAGAGCATCTAGGTTTGAGGCATAGTCCAAGTGGTTTCAGGATTTCACTCTTGTCGTATTATTTTTTTAATATCTTATTGATTTGATGTAAAAATGAGTTACTGTCTTTGTTTATCTTCTCCATTGACATATTAAGAAAAAATGTTCAAAAATATATTTAATCTAACATGGGAAAAATAAATGAACGATACTATTATGCTATTGCAATGGGAATAATTGGAGCATTTGACATGTACAAAGACTTTATTACAGGGGAGTACGCTGGTTTTGACGAAAAGGAACCAACATCGCAGAGTGGTGGCAAAGCTGAAGTCATTCGACTACTCAAAGAAAAAAGGGGCTTCAAAACCATCGTTCACATTGGTGATGGCGCCACAGACCTCGAAGCTTGTCCACCAGCAAATGCTTTTATTGGTAATTATTATTTGTACTATTTAAGTACGGGCTTTTTTATTTATTAACTTCTACAAGTAAAAGTTGAGTGAAAGTCATATGATAAGATAACCGTTTCTCAAGAAAATAGTAGGTTGTTTTCAATAAAGTTTATATAAAGAGAGAGTCAAAAATATTATCGGAGTAACAGAAATTTTTATTTTGACTGTAAACAGTCAGTAATAAAATGAGGATTGTTATTAGTTATGTTGACAGCATGTCACAAATAGTCAAAAAGTTACCTCTAGAAAAAAAATAAAGGTTTTTAACTGCAAAAAATTGTTTAAAAAAGTACTTTTTTCTTTATATTCTCAAAACTTAAGTGAGACATAGTTTTGAAAAACAATTTTAGACTTATTTTTTAACTTTGAATGTTTACTGTGATCTCAGTAGAAAATATATAGTTTGAGCATGGTGTACCTCAGTCAAAAATTAATAGCTACTATTATGCCTATAATTTATAGCTATAATTATAGCTATAACTACGTATAAAACAGCTACAATAATGTATAAAATTCAGCTATAAATATAGCTATAACCTACAGCTGTAAATTTTTCACAAATAATGAATAAAAATTAGTTTAAAATCAGATTCTTTCAACATATATCGATCAGTACGGATGGTATCATCCGCATGATAACAGTAAAACTGGGGGCCTGAAGTATTTTTGAATAAGTAGAAAAAAAAAAACAAGAAATCGTATACAATTTCAAGTTTTTTAAAAATTGTTTAAAAATACTTTAGGCCCTCAGCTTTACTGTTATCACACGGATGATACCGTCTATTCTGATCGATATATGTTGAAAAAATCTGATTTTAAACTAATTTTTATTCAAAATTTGTGAAAAGATTACAGCTGTAATTTATAGCTATATTTATAGCTGAATTTTATACATTATAGCTGTTTTATAGGTTGTTATAGCTATAATTATAGCTATAATTTATAGGAATAATTATAGCTATAAATTTTTAACTGAGACGCCCCACCAGTCTTAACACAAGGTGTATCTTAAGCCCTGTGCTTGTCTTAGCGACGTGTATGATCAAAAGTAGTGTATTTTATTTTATGCTCGTGGGAGTACATTATCCGATATCTATCTCGTATATAACCCCATACTTATTTTAACTTAGTTCGTTGTCATTCACATATTGCATCTCTTACTTCTGAAAACTAAGAGTATCAAGAGAAAAAAAGATATCGAAAAGAACGAGATAAAGCTATTTTTCTTTCTTGACCACTAGCTGACGCAATCAGTATGGAATGCTAAGATTGTTAGACTTTCTTGTAACTTCTGTTTTGTGCATGTCACATCCAATGGGAAGATTGTTTTATTTTATCCATTCTGTACTCGAACTGTAGTTAAAGTTCGGGTGACGGCGGAAACCTTGGCTTATTATTTACTATGTTATCCCAACTTGGGCAACTAGTTATTTTGTTGCGTGGCTAGCAGTTATGACGAAGAAGTCGAAAGGAAAGGTAGGGATGGTTCGGACTCGGGAATCCTTTTGCTATGAAAAGTAATAGAGAAATATTAATAAATTTTACCTTAAAACGATCTTGTCTTTTTTTTTGCTGATTACTTTTGTTTTCACTTTATTTTAAACTTAACACGAATTCTAACAAGAAGAAAAAAATATACAATTATTGTTGAAAGATTTAAATAGTTGTCTTGACAGTGTTGCGGCTCTAAGTTTTTGGAACTAAAAACTATATTACGCTGTACTACGAGCGTACAAGTTAAACTACGGCTCTTGGGGTAAGACGCAGGTTTTTTTATAGGAAAAAAAGCGAGTAAAAGAATCACATTATCTTACATCGTAAATTAATTTTACTAGTTAAGATAATTGAAATTCGGGGAAATTGAAATTCGGCACCTATTAGGTAGCGGGTCATTTGAGATAATTGAGCATTTCTTGGAATTTGAGAGGTCAAAGTGGATAAGAGCGACGTTGTTACATAAAAGCTAGATAATCATCTGAGGAACAATCTCAGTGTAAGATGAAAAAAAAGAAAAGAAAAGGTATAGATGTTACACCTCGTGTATGTGATATATTGATTACAAAATTGATTGAATTATTCATACTACTGTGTATTTGTATGTGGTGTGATGTGTAAAAAGGAAAGAAAGGATATGACGGGTAGAAAATGGCATGGGTTTAATTAGTTACGTTTGGAGGCTTACGTTTAGTTTCTGGCCGCACGATTGCGGAGGAGGGAGGAGGGGAGAGGGGGGAAGTGGTTAAATGACATCTTTATGTATTGTAGGGGTGCGAAAATGTGAAATTTTTTAAAAATTACATTGTTAATTTTTGAACGAAACATTGTGTAAGTAGGCCTAGAGTCTTGTAGTAGTATATCCATATACAATTCAGATGCACTTAATTTTTCGATAGGCATATTAATTGCTCTCATTAGCTCTGTTTTAGCAGTAAAGTTTGCTTGATTTTGTGTCATTTCGCATTTTTAAGTTTTACAAGATATAACTGAGTGTTCATAAAGACGATGAATCTGTGCCATGTTTTTTTCACGATTCTCCGCCTAGTGTTAGTGATCATCAATGTGTTGGTTTGTTGGAGTCATACGGAGATTACGATCCTCGACGATTACGTGTTGACAAGATAGTAGATATGATTAATCTACCATATCTTGTACAAAATTTAGGTACCCGTGAACAGTGCATTAAATTTGCAGAGAATAATAGCTTAATACTTGCGTTTAAACGATATTGGATACGTGGAACATCAATGTATATCGACTACACGCACAACAACACTGTTGGGTCTTTCCGTAGTAACAAGGCGCCTTGTCGGTCACGTTCTAGGATCCCACGTGGTGTTGATACATGGTTTGAGGATATCAAATCATCTTTACCGCGGGTATTTTATCTAACGTATTCTTTTGCTGAAAGATTGAGTTATGATACGGCTATTTTTGAAGATGGGGAAAGATCGAAGGAAAATGGTTGTTTATCGAGAAGTACAGTTTGCGATTGGTACAATTATTGTCGCGAAGTTGTGGTCCTGTACCAAATCAATAAACAAGAGAAAATTGGACAAATTGGTAGACCTGGAAAAATTGTACATATAGACGAGAGAAAGTTTGGAAAAAGATAGTACAACAAAGGTAATTATATACATAGTTTGGTACTGTATAGTGCTGGCAACTCTACTGTGAGTACTTACAGGGTCCAAGTTTTTTTTTTTTTTCGAGCGAGTGTAGTGAGCGAGATACGCCTTATTTCAAGTAAGATGATGCGATATCATTTGACTTAATCTCAAAAATATTTCTTTATTTTTTACAGGCCGTAGAATCGAAGGGCATTGGGTATTACGGACGATCGAGGATGACAGTGAGGATCTTCGTCTAGAGGTTTGTCCAGAAAATATTAGGGATGCTGATGTCTTGATACCCTTAATAAAGAAGCATGTAGCAGAAGGTTCTTTAATACACACCGACTACTGGCGTGCATATGATTGCTTACAAGATCATGAATACATCCATAAGAAAGTTAATCATTCTGATCCAGGAAATCCGTTTGTGGCCAGTGACGGAATACATACACAGCGAATTGAATCACAATAGCGAGTAGTAAAATCTTTCTTCCTGAAAGACAATCTTTGAACTCCTAGAAATTTTGCTGACTTTATTCTTGAATACACGAGGAGACGCTCTGTTTCTGCATCAAAAAAGATCCTTTTTTTGCACTTTTTGAAGCAATCCAACATGCTTATAACCTTAAATAATAATCTAATTTCATCTTACTTTTTTATTTGTATTTTTATTTCTGCTTACATTCGCATGCATAGTAATATTTAACGTGACATAAGGGTTTATTACACAATGTTTGGTTCAAAAATTAATAATTAAATTTTTTTTTAATTTTACATTTTTGCACCCCTACAATCCGTCAGGATGTCATTTAACAACTTTCCCCCTCCCCCCTCCACAATTGTGCGGCCAGAGACTGAATCGTAACCTGTTTGCATACCTTACAGTGTTGGTTTTCGAAGAATAATGCTTCTGGCGTTACAATAGTGATTTATAGAGTAGGTTGTAATCAACGCTCAAGAAAAAAAAAAAAAAAAAAGTTGAAAGTAGTAACATTCGTCGATGCTGATTATTCTGGTCAGCCTTCAGTGTTTCATGATGACTTATGTACTTCATTCAAGATCCCAGCAATACGTACAAGTGGTCCAGAATGGCTTGTGTTATGCAAGGCAGCAGCAGTGCATAAGTAAACAAAAACATGGTTTTATTATTGGGTGATCTTATACAATACACATCTTTACAAATAATGTCTTATGCGGACATTATTATGTAAAAAAAGGTTATTATAAGGACAAAATCGTACTTATGTGAACTGTTCTCAAAACTTTTTAATGTTATTAGTATATTTTCTAAAAGCACGTAAAGTCCTCACAAGTCACCTTATATATGAGACGTTCCATGTCAACTGAAACACTGCTCTAGACATTTTTTATAGTGATGAAAAAAAACGGCTGAAGGCTTAAATTTTTCGTTTTTACAAGAGCTTTCGAAAGCCATGTAGCAGATTAAAATTTCTAAATGGTGACCCCAAAATGGCCTCTGTTTTTATTGAAATCGTAGAAAAAACTATGCAATGTATCTGCAAACACAAATTTAAGATCTAAAACTAAGCTTTCTTAGACCTAAAAAGTCAGCAATAATATGTTGTTTAAAATGCCGTGTGGTGATTCATTTTTCTTCAAAGTGGTGGTTTGGAAATATGGAAAATGGCGTTTATTTCTGCAATTTCGCAATATTTTGCGCTTGTTTTTGCAGCCAACACAAATTCAAGATCTGAAAATACGCATTCATAGGCATAAAATGTTGGTAATAATATGGTGCTTAAAATGCCGTAAAGTACTCAATTTTTTTTTTCAAAATGGCAGCTTAGAAATATGGAAAATGGTGCTTTATTTCTGCAATTTCAAGATATTTCAGGCTTGTTTTTGCAGC